GTGTGGACCAGATATATGGCCTAGATGTCCCCATAATCAAGTCGGCTTATTATGTTTTTAACTATTAATTGTGTTGTATAGCGTTTATTGATATTCCTTGGGACTATATATATATGGATTTAGGTGTTTATCGCAGTGTGCTCGACTGGCTTGTATATGGGCTTTTGAAATGTGGAATCCTCTCTCTCTCTCTCTCCGATACCTCACAGTTAATAGACCACTATTAATCACCACATTCAATGCATTATTGTTTACTAATGTGTATTTATGTAAGTGACTGTATTCTGTGTCTTTCTGTCATATTATATACTTGAAGAATAACAGAATTCGAACAACACCCCATGATATCAATGAACTGAAGATTTGTTATTGTCTTAAATATAACATCAACTAATCTGTGTATTTACATATCTCACCTTTCAGACACTGTGACGTTAACTCTGTTAACAGACAGAGACAGACAGTGAAAAGACATTTTTATATGAAAAAACAATTTTTTTTGTAATAAATAAATGGAATAAAGATTTCTGTTTAAAAAAATACCCTTAGCTATTGTTAAAACTGTATGAAGATTTACTATTATTATTCTTGTAAATATCACAGTTTTGGTATCTGACGTTGACCAAAACCAGAAATACTCTTTTAACCATAATTTCAATAAATCCTGTAAAATATTGCGTCATCCGTAGCTGTTTGTTACAATAATTTCATTGAATATTTATAAAACAAAATAAGGTGCTTTTCTTCGTCGTCTTTCAAAGTCCTTAGGTTCTGCCTGAGTGGAACATACGGCTTCCATAGCACCTCCCCATTTCATACTAATTTCTACAGTCATTTTCTTTTTTAACTGGCTCCACGATTGCACCCATAGTATCTCATCTCCTCCTTGGATGTCCAGTTCGTTGTTGGATGAGCCATTATTATATGTGTAAAACTTGGGCACTGCGGTAGTAGATAATTCCATATTAGTTTGTTTATTAGATGTATCACAGAGTGATGAAACAGTATTATTTACTGGATGACACAGTTTCAAACAAAATTTATTGCTGTTCATAATCATGCCATCAATTGTAATCACACGACTTTGAAACTTAAGTTTTATAGTTTTCTTTGTCTTCTCCTATTTGTCGTCGTAGGGGTAGGAGAATTTTCCAGATATCCGGAACAGCGAGACTCTCACAATGGCTCTAACTGGGTTGTTCAGGAAGGTGTGGGAGACAGAGAGTGTACCATCAATGTGGAACGAAGCCATTATCGTCCCCATCTTTAAAAAGGGTCGACGTAATTCGTGTGACAATCATAGGGGTATCAGTCTGTTACCAGTCGCGTCTAAAATATGGCTGCTGTCTTGCTTCGCAGACTGTGCAAAATACGTGAAGGATTGATTCGCGAAGAGCAGGCTGGGTTTCGTTCAGGTCGTGGATGCATTGATCATGTGTTCACCCTTCGTCAGTTGTTGGAACACCGCCACACGTATTGCAGGCCAACGATCGTTGTGTTTCTTGATATTAGGGCTGCCTTCGATTCGTTGGACAGAACTGTGCTCTGGAACTGTCTGTTAGAGAGAGGTGTACCTGAGAAATTTGTTAACATCCTGAAAGCCCTATACAGAAACACCTCAGGTAGAGTGAGGGCATACAACCAACTATCACCACTGTTCCCAACCAACAGTGGGGTTAGACAGGGTTGCCCAATCTCTCCATTTCTCTTTAACTTTGCCATCGATGACATTCTGGAGTCAGCTCTGAAGGATGTGCGTGAAGGTGGTGTAGATCTGCTACCTGGAGATAGACTTTTCGACCTCGAGTATGCAGACGATATCGTCTTACTGTGCGATAGCATGCAGGCTGCCCAAATCGCACTTAATCAGTTGGCGATCAGTGTCTGTAAGTATGGTATGTGCTTTGCGCCGTCTAAGTGCAAAGTACTGTTACAAGATTGGCAGGAGCCTGTACCTGCACTCACTCTTGCGGGTGAACCGCTTGAAGTTGTTGATAAGTTTGTGTACCTGGGTAGTTGTGTGAGTGCTGGCGGAGGGGTGACGGATGAGATTTCCAACCGTATAATGAAGGCTAGGGTGGCATACATCAACTTGAGCCACCTATGGCGCCGTCGCGACGTTAGCCTGGCTGTCAAAGGTCGGGTATACAATGCTTCGGTGCGGGCTGCGCTGCTCTACGCCTGTGAAACCTGGCCTCTCCGAGCTGAGGATGTGCGGCGACTCTGCGTGTTCGATCACCGCTGTCTCCGCAGGATTGCTTGCGTTCGATGGCATCATCGCGTGAGTAATTCTGAGGTTCGGCGGCGTGTGTTTGAACAAAGTGGAGATCACCATTCATTGAATGTCGTCATCTGGAAACACCGGCTCCGGTGGCTTGGACATGTGCTCCGAATGTCACCCCAGAGGCTTCCGTACAGGTCTCTGTTCGCTAGCCCTGGGACGGGATGGAAAAGGCGGAGAGGTGGTCAGTCCATGACGTGGCGTCGTGGGATGAAGGATTTTTGTGCTAGATTAGCATCGGTTGGTGTGTCACGACTCCCTGGTTGGGGTCCGAGAGATAGCTCAAATCGATGGCTCGAAACGTTATCGGATATGGCCAAGAATCGTAATCAGTGGCGAATGTGTTGTGATTTCCTTCTTTCTTCCCTTCCCGATGATAGCTAACGAACACTGTTTGAACTTGTTAAGCATGACTGTTTTCCTTCCAGATGAAGTTCTTTATCCGTTCTCTACTTATATATATATTTTTTCTTTTCCTTCCTTCCTTTTTTTGATCTATGTTGTTTTATTATTATTGTGTGGCGCATCTTTCTTGGTGCCATATTGTACCAAGTTTTTTATGCGTTTAAATAAATAAATAATAAATTTTCGTTTTGATAAAGTCTCACAGTGTTATACAGTAATGTATACTGATGACGTTTCGAGCACAATTTATTGCTCATAATCATGTCAAGGTGTGAACATTACTACATTTTTTTTTGATTTACAGCTTGATTCCACACTGTATTTTTGGTACAAGTATGGAATTTTCAGCATGGATATCGGTAGCCCAAATTTTGCAGGCCGACCATAGATATCAGGTGTGCGTCGGCGTGGGCTCGAACCCCGGACCATGTGCATGGTCGGCGAGAGTCCTAACCACTGTGCCACCGACGCATAACACTGTGAGACTTTATCAAAACAAAAATTTACCCATAATGGAATTATGCTCTACCTCAGTGCACAAGTTTTATTCTTATATCAATAAGTAGTACCAAGGAAAATCTGAGACAGGAAGTGATACACATAAAAGAGGCCTTGAAACTTAATAATTACCCGGATAAATTAGCCAAGAAATATGTAGGGAAACGTAAAAATAAAATAATATTAGTAATGATAATAATAATATTAATGACGACATGCATGTCAAATATGATCATGACAACACCAACAATAAGGAAATCTAAATCATCAGTAGTAATTCCATACAAGGAAGGAACCTCGGAAACCACCTTACGCAGAGTTCTCAACAAGGCAGGAATAAAAGTGGCTGGCATTCAAACCAACCACAAACTCAATTAGAGACAAGCTTTGTCGGCTAAAGGATCCTGTAGAGCCATTAAAACAAAACAATTTAGTTTATCTAATACCCTGCTGGAATGATTGTCAGGTCAAATACATAGGTCAAACTAGTAGAACAGGGGTAGTCAGACTAGCCGAACATAAAAACCTAGCTAAATCTAGACTGGTTGACCCAAATAAGATAAGAAATCTAGAGAATAGTTCAGCTATAGCACTACATGCAGTTACACACAACCACACAATAGAATAGGATAGGATGACAGTTTTAAAATCTAGTGTCACAGGGTGGAGGGAGAGATTGATAACAGAAGCTCTGTTTATCGAATCAACTGCAAATACATTTAATAGGAATGATTCAACACCTAGCTGTTCCGGATATCTGGAAAATTCTCCTACCCCTACGACGACAAATAGGAGAAGACAAAGAAAACTATAAAACTTAAGTTTCAAAGTCGTGTGATTACAATTGATGGCATGATTATGAACAGCAATAAATTTTGTTTGAAACTGTGTCATCCAGTAAATAATACTGTTTCATTACTCTGTGATACATCTAATAAACAAACTAATATAGAATTGGACGAGCCATGTCACTCAGTGGTCTCTTCAGTATGTTTCCGATCCATCTGCATTTTCTTTTGCGTATTTGTTGAGCAACGGATTGTTGGTTAATTTATTCCCAGAGTTCCGTATTGCTCATTCTCTCTCACCTAGTTTCCTAGTTCACTCGCCGGTTCTAAGCCTGAGAAAAAACAGCGAAGGTTGGGTGTGGCGGGGGGATATTGACCCTACCCCTGAAAATCAATACAATCACTGCAAAAACACCAATGCACAAAAGCATGCATGTAATAAACTTCAGTTTATAGGTTGTTGAAATCTAAAAAAAGCTTTAGATATCATGGAGAATATTTTTTTAGCTCAGGTGGATGACTTTGATATGGTTGTATTCTCTGAGCTGGATAGTTAGTTAATTTGCAAAGCTTTCATTGCCCTGCTAGGTAGGTAGGCAACATCTTCAGCGCAATACAAAAGGCCTAGAGGGTGTGAAAACACACGAAAAACACAAGTAATCACATTCAAGGTCACCCACCGGGAGAGAGATGAGTAATAAACTCATGGAGAAATCTAAAAGCTCTCTTCAACGAATTGTAGTATGCACTGAAGATGTTGCCTAGTGTGTTGGTGGCAATTGAAAGCTTCTCAAATTAACAATCCAGCTGGCTCAGAGAACACAACCACAACAAAAATCCTAAAAGCTTTTAAAGCTCACAACTGATACTATATACTGGTTAAAGTATTAATTACTCTTTCTTATTTTTTGAATGATTTTTCATCTCTTTTTTATTTTAATGCACAATTAATTTATCCATTGAATCGTATACTTCTAATTGTCTTTTCTATTAATATCTATTGTTTTATTCTTTAAAATAATATACAGGAAGCAGAAATAATGCATTTAAAGGCAATTGAAATTAAAGAACGACTACTTGGACCAAATGATTTTGAAGTTGGCTTAAGTGTTGGTCATTTAGCTAGTCTATATAACTATGATATGGATCGATTTAAAGAAGCTGAACAATTATATCTACGTTCTGTACAAATAAGTAAGTTGAATTATTATTTTTTTTTTAAACAATTAGTTCCCTTAATAAATTTAGATAAAGCAATAAGAAGACGTAATTTGTCTGAATCGTGTAATGTATTTGCGCAACACATTTCGAACAATCTGATCACATACACGAACTTGTCATTGGAATATATATATAAAATTAATAAAGAGGTAAGAGGTGAGAAAAATAGACTTAGGTCAAGTTCAAAGGACATATTCAAGGTCAAAATAACAATGAAGACCACGAAACCAAAAAGCAGAGGTAATAGTACATCTACTATGGTATCAAAACAAAATTTACCAAGGAAGGTTTAATATGATGACGAATTGTTTTTGAACGCATAAATGAAGTTTAAACTTTCTGATTGCCAGCTAGGGCTTCCACAAACTTTAGGATACGCCCCAAACATGTTTTATCGATAGGTTTAAAAGATCTGTTAACGTCAATTTTATGCCCTGTCTCTATAAGATGTTTCACTATAGAAGAGCTAGGTCTCCTGTTCTCACCGTTAATAAGTTTTGATGATCCCATTTGTTTCTGGAGCCATTTAGGAATATCTTCTGAAGCCTTTACTCGCAGAGATCGATGAGTCCTCCCTATGTATGTGTGTCCACGCGTACATTCAAATCGGTAAATACAGTGGGATGTGACGTCATTTTTCGCATGTTCGAAGGGCTTAGATAGATGTAATGGCTTTACATTCTCTATTATTATGATATTAGCTGCATAAAAAGTCTTTTTAACAGCAGCGTTCAGTCTTTGTCTAGTTATCAAACTGCTTTGATGCCCCATATAGGGTAGCTTGATGTACACGTCTTTCTTAGGGGCGAGTTGGAGAGTGGGTCTTGGTGTTCTGACTACCTTACATCTCCTGATGATAATTGTCTGGATAATTGTTATCAACCAGAGTTTGTGTCAACTTTCTTTCTTCTTCATCAAGTGTGTCTTCAGTGCATATTCTTTGGATTCTACCGAAGAGACACCTTACTAAGGCTCTTTTCTACCGAACAGGGCAGAAACTGTGGTAATTAAGATAATGTCCTGTCCAGGTAGGTTTTCTATAAATAGATCTTTTTATTGATCCATCAAGCCGTCAACTAAGCAATATGTCTAGGAAAGATAAACAATTATCTTCCTCTTCTACAGATGTAAGTGATACGCTATTCTGAACTTCATTCATTCGATTTAGAATTTTTTGTTGTTGTTAGCCAATTAAAGTTAAGAAGTGGTGTATTTCACTTTCTTGGGGAGTATCGTCTCAACTATTGGTGGGGTGGGTGGGATTGCATGAGGATATCTAAGACAATATTGGAGAACACAGAGACGTTCATTACCCTAGAATCAGTGTGGAGATCTGCAATACTGAACACATGGGACAAGATCTAAATCTGTGACACTAATGTCAAGTTATTGCTTCTGTATGTTTCAGAGATTTGAAGCATCATAGAAAGCATTTCCAACGGTCGTCTCACATAGATAAAACCAACAGAAATTGCTACGTGGATTGCTAATATGTTTGATCGAACCTACTTCCAAATACTTCAGTCCAACATTACTGGAAAAATAAGGATGATGGCGCTTAACATGCTCGACATTTATTCAGTTAGTCTAGTTTCCTTACTCAACGCTCTATGTCTATCTGATTCTCTTCCACTTGCTTAATGCAATGAAGATATTTTCAAGTATTGGATTTGTAGGGATTCGGTTGATTGGTTACAGGATTTCATCATCAGCTGACATCGATTAGAGAATCACTGGAAAACCTGGGAGTACTGGACAGCTGTTTCGCCAGTCTAGCTTTGGACTCTTCAGGAGTACGCACCCACCATAGGGGTTCGAACACAGGACCTTCTGGTTACAAGGCGAGCTAGCTAGTAGACCATTGAGCCACTGATCCAATGGTCCTCGAATTCCTACTTCTGCCAATTCACGACATAGCGCGACCATTTCGGAATGTCATCTTCGATGAGTTACTGCATCATCTTCAACCTGCTGTACCCTACTGGTGACGGCTTCCCACTAGAACTCCAGGTTAACTGCCTGAATAGGGCCAGTCACCCACAAGTGAGCATCAGATTAATTTTCAAGTATTGGTTTTGTAGGCATTTTGTTTGACTGATACTTATTCATACTTGTTGGTTGGAAGCAATCGGCAGGGAAACCTTGCTCGATCTAGGTTTCGTGCTAGTTGGCACTCCCCACTCAGCAAGGCGTATCTGCAACTTTAAAGAAACTCATGTCCCTTCTGAGATTCGAACCTGCATCACCTAGTGCCATAGTCAAAGACGTTACTATTGAGCTATTAGGGCTCGCGACTGACCTCCTGTAGGACTGTAGTGGATATTTTGACTGGACACTAACACACTTGTCTGATAGAATTGAGTCTGTATCAAAGAAAGAAGTAGACACATTACACTAGTTTACTGGTGGTAGTGTCTAATCGAAGATGCTTATTTGTCAAAAACCGTAATCTTTTCATGTCCTTCGCTTTAGATAACCATGCCTAACAGTCATATAAAGTAGGAAAGAGGGAACTCCTTTACATTTCACTTGCTGTGTTGATAGATAACCAAATATGCTAGTTGTAAAATTGACATGTAAATTAATAAGTCGCTGGTGTATGTGTCTTCTATATATGTGATTCCTTTAATGGTGATATACCTCAAACAAATAAGGCAGTTTAAGTGTCGGTTTGTAGGGATTTGTTTTGTTGCAGGATTTTATCATGAGCTGACATTTGTTAGAGAACCACTGGAGAACCTGAGAGTACTGGACAGCATACGATTGCATACGATCACTTCAGTGCCCCCCCCCCATCCTTGAACATTGGATCAGTGTTCACAGACTACATGTAGATTTTCATTGAGAAATTTCAGACAGTTTGTTTATCACATAGTAAATTATTTTGTTTCTTGTGTACGTGTGTACACCCAAGTGTGAGAAATAATTAATGTTCAGCGATTATTTGTATACAATCATAGTTTTATGTTTATGTGATGTTTATAGATTTAGTCAATCATTCAATTTATTCATTATTTTTTTTATTACTTTTGATCATTATTATGATTAGGTTTAAATTTATTCGGTCCTACATACAGTGGATTAGAATATGATTATCGAGGTTTACAACGTGTCTATCATGAATTAGGCAATTACACAGAAATGCAACGTTATCAAGGCTTGTTCGACTATTGGTCCAAGGAGAGACAACGTTTACGTGCGCTTGAACCATGTGAATCGTCTGATTCGCTTGACTTCTTAGATGAACGTCGTAACACCAGTCGAACAGAACAATCACAAATATTAATGGAATTATTAAAAGATTATAAATATCAATTCAAGTCAATTTTTGTTGGTTTATACACCAGTAGTGAAGGTGAAAGTGAAGGGGAACATGTCGTCAATACTACAACAAGACGTGATGCTTATCATCCGTTAAATTTTAATAATCCTGGAAGCAGTGGTGGCGGCAGTATGGAAGCCAGTCGATCAACAGGCTATTAACACATACATACATACATACATCTATGTGTATATTCTCTCCGCATCTACATAATAGTTATGGACTGTGTTATATATATATAAATAAGTTTATATTCAGGTTTTATTTCAGCTATACGTTGAAGAAAAAGAAGAAAAAACCTTAATCAATTTTCAGCCACATTGTTTTAATTCAATAGACTTTCGCCATTAATTATTTGACGTTTTCAAATTTAACTAAATTTTATAACAGCTGCTTTGTTAATTTTCCTTGTTTTCGTGATATTTAGTATTTCATACTTGTATATATATATAACACATAATTGAATTCAGTAGTATATACATATATATATATGCGCACAAACACGAATATTTCCTTCTTTGTTTTGTCCGTCTATTGGGAAATATTAGGCAGTCAAGATTATCCAGTTGATAAAAGTTTACTTTAAGGTCAGGGTAAATTTTTTAAAAAAGAGATATTATAATTGTGCGCCGTTTTCTTTTCACAACACATACTAGTTAGTTATAGATGACTGATTGATGATACTTTAAATAACAGGGTCATATTATTTGTTGAAAATTGTTTTCAAGTATTGTTTTTGTAGGGATTTGGTTGATTGGTTACAGGATTTCATGATGAGCTGACATTGGTTAGAGGACCATTGGAAAACCAGTGGGGAGTAATGGACAGCTGTTTCGTCAGCCTAGTTTGGGACCCTTCAGCAGTACGCACCCACCACAGGGGTTTGAACACAGGACCTTCTGGTTACAAGGCGAGCGAGCTCGTAGACCATTAAGCCACTGGGACTCGATCCAATAGTTCATGAATTCTAACTTCTGCCAATTTACGACATAGCGTGACCGCTAGTCAGTGTCTTCGGCGAGTATTTATCCTCACACCCGACCGGCTGCACTCTACTGGTCACGACTTCCCCCTAGAATCCCAGGTAACTACCTACATGAATAGGGCCAGTCGCCAGTGAGCATCTCATTGATATTCAAGTATTGGTTTGTAGGGATTTGTTTGATTGGTTACATGATTTCATCATCAGCTGACATTGGTTAGAGAACCATTGGAAACCCTGGGAATTCGGAAATTCGACCAGAAACACGCCTAATTGTACGGCCTATGTAACTGGCTCCACAGCTTAAATATTCAATTTTTTCAGTTTTGAATAAGAGTATTTCAACTGCTTACTTACTAGACAGACACATACTGAATCCCTGGCCGACTCACTTCGAAATCTCGCTTGACTGGTAATAGGTCTGGCAAAGAGGGAAGATTGGACGTCATCCCACCCCGTAAAATCTAAACATCACTGCTACTGAAACTTCGAGCCTCTAGCTTTAAGCCCCATGTTCCACTGCGAACGCAAAGGAATAAAAGAACTAGACACTGGTTTAGCTAAAAGTGAATATATATATATATATATCGTGGAGCTGTGGTTGGCTGGTTTAGGTGCTCGATTATTAAACAGTGGACCGTGGGTTGGAATACCAACCACTACCTGGACCATTTTATTGCCCGATGGCCTAGTGGACAACGTTTAGGTTCGTCGATAGTTAAGTGTGACCGACGCACTCTTAATCCTCGCTCATACGGTAGTAAACTTAGTAAAGAGGGAAGGTTTCGCATGATGCTAGTCACTCCACTCCATAACAGACAATATCACTACTAATGAATCTTCAAAACTTAAGCTTGAAACTTTATATACCACTTGAAACAATAAGAAATCAAAAAATGCATATTTTCTAGGTAGATTTCTTCTTCATAAACTGATTACTGAGAAAAAAAACTATTTAAACATGACGCCACAATGAGATCCTCTTTAAAATAATTCATAGGCACTTTGTTTATTAGTAACTACCATTGAAATGAATTATTCGGTATTTCAACAAAGAGTCAGTAACCGATAGGATCTATCAAATTCAATGTAGGAATAATTGTGTTATTTATAATGTAACGAATAAACAGAAGGTGAAGATATTAAGTGGATTGAATTCTAACCTATTATTTGAATTATAGATAAGATTTTTGATTTTAATTAATAAATCACACAGTGTTATACAGCAATATTAATATTATACCATATAAGGAGGGGACATCTGAGATCCCACATGTAGGATTCTCAATAAAGAAGGAATTAGCCGGTGGCATTCAAACCTAAAAACTCACTCAGATAGGACAAGCTCTGTAGGCTAAACAACCAGGTGGACCCAATTAAACAAAATAATATCATATACGAAATACCTTGCAATGACTGTGAGTTAGGTCAACTACATAGGTCAAACTAGTAGATCAGGAGTAGTCAGATTGCCTGTCAGAACATAAGAATTTAGCTAAGGTTGGAAAGGTTGATCACGAAAAGATAAGTAATTTAGAAAAGACCTCAGCGATTACACTGTATGCATTAACACACAATCGGTGGGAGAGGGTTAAAATAAGGAGTAATATAAGTAGGTGGAGGGCGAGAGAGGTTGATTACTGAATCACGGTTGGTTGACTCTACCTACACATGAAACAGAAATGACTCAATTCAAATACCAGAAATATGGAAGATATTATTACCACCAGTCAGTCAAATCAGAGGAGGATAATAAATAATCTTAAAATTCCATTTCAATTCACGTACATCACAACATTCTAAAAAGTTACTTATTTTGACTATTAAAAAAAATTCCCAATCTCATTTTATTTGATCAATAACACACATATTATTCTTTCTGAATGTACATTATCCCATATTGATTTTTTTTCTCAAATAATCGAGCAAAGAATTTTCTTTTCGATAAATTCCTCTTCTGGCTCTATTCGCAGCGCTATTCTGTCTCATCTTGTGGAGACAGAACACAAGATTGACGTTAACCATACTTTCAGGGTCATTTACCGCATACCTACGAATCTCAATTTTGCCTTAAGAGTTCGACTACTAAATATTGCTGAGGCTGGCTGTGGAGATCCATATTAACAAGCCTAATTTATGCATCCAAAAGAAGTTAGTTCAGATATTATCAATACCTTGGCCATCCAGGTTTGAATAATCCTGAATTTTTGTGAAATTTCCCTAATTTTAGTTGATACGTTATTCGCTATTATATCTTTATTACCATTATAATTTAAGCGTCTTTAATGAACTGTAATCGCATTGATCATACTTTACAAATCGATATTATTTGAAAAACACCAATATTGTTAATAACTACTAATCTAGAATATTCTGTGTATATAAACATATATATAACTGTATAACCAGAAGAGGAATTTATCGAAAAGGATATTCTTTGCTCGATTATTTTGTGTTTTATAGATGTCTGAATATAAATATTTATTCAAATGTCTAATCATTTTCACTCATATATATAAATGAAGGAAGAAAGTTGTTTGAGTGACTAGATATGATTATAAGCAATAATATGTGCTCGAAACGTGGTCGCATCAGTTAATATTACTGTATAACACTGTGTGACTTACCAAAATAAAATCCTATCTATAATGGAGTTATACTCTACCACAGTGTCCAAGTTTTATACTTAGATCTATTGTTTGAATATTAGTGTCATCGCATTCTAACTTGATTGGTACTCTTGGAATTAATTCCTTTTTGCATTCGTGAAAGGGAATTGATAAGGACTTTCAAAGTAAAAAGGAAACGATTGTTCAATACCTCTAAGAATTCTCTTCTCTAGTATCAATTTGTTATAATATCTGCCTTGAATTCAATCCTAACAGCGGGAACCTGTGTTCAGAATTCTTTTTCTTTCACCATAATGCTATATGTAATGAAGGTTTTTATCAAAAGTACAAGTTATTATCAGCCTAGAATTCCTAGGATGAAAAACATATGCTATAATTTCTTGAAGAAAAACTAGGTCAATAGAACACTGTAAGTTGTTGTTTTTCAAGATATTTCATGAAAAGTATACTCATAAAGGTGTTCTGATTGGTCACCGCTGGAAAGAATATGTTTGTACTTTATTCTGAAAAAAAAACCATGTTAGGTTAGTGAAAATGTCGTTATAAAATTTAGTTAATCAGAGCGTGTATCAACAACATCTTGTACGCCAAGAGTGCAATTGACCTCAGACCATTTTAATGAGTCACCCACTGTTTAAATTGTGAACTTTTATCAGCTATGATTCTAGAGGTTTAATAACGACTACTTCATTGCAATGTAATGTTATTTGATTTAAATGCAGAAAAGATATTGAGGAAGGCATTATTTGTATTTTTAAAAACAGAATCTGATTATTAACTACCACGACAATATTCTGCGTGATCTAGTGCCGTATGCTACTGATAAGATTTATCAGTAGTATATAAAGAGACGTCCATCAGCATTAAAAAATCAAATAGCAGGGAGATATGTGTGATTTCAGGGTAGGCAAATGATTCAGTGTTGTGGAAATACATGGAAGACGTGAAGGGAACACGAAGAAACACAATAGCATATCTAGAAGTACCACGACATAGGAGATCTGTGCAAATGGTGCATTGAAGATAAGGTGTACGTAACTTTGCCATTCCTTTATCAAGTCTCTCATCGTCTACTGATTCATTTTAACTCGAAGAACTATGAAGTAACCTCATTTCTGAATAGATTTCTTCAGAAGGAGACATCTGTTAGAGAAACATGGAAAAGCAAGAATCATCAGACAGCCATTTCGTTTTAATTACAGAACCTCCAACAGTGCGCCAGGAGAATACCAGAAATTTTCAGGACTGATTGCGTTGCTTTTTGATTAAAGGGCTAGATTCCTCTATAACCCGTGGCGCTATTTGTGGAAAACTATCCTTGCACTCCAACAGTCATGACATCTCGTTGTGAATTCCGAAGTCTGTGTCACAGCTAGTATGCTTTGGATTGATAAAACAAAAAACAGTTGAGATTTCAATATGATACAATGCCTATCTTAATGAGATTCATTTTTAGTAATTGTGTAGGTTAAAATAAGCGAGTTGTCAAATGTAGGCTTTTCTAAATATTCCCTAAGTTTTTTTGTTTTTCTGGGTTAAAGATGTTTTGGTTTTGAGGCAAAACATATCACCTGCTCTTTAAGGTAGGTGATATATATTTGTGCTGACACGCCGGCCCAACTTTCGGTCAGTGGGGTATAGGGTTCGAGTCTAACACTACCTAATTTAGCCTAGGCAACTGGGTAGTGTCGTTGGCCCTCACGCAATAAGTGTGGCTCATAGCTCGATACCGGGTAACTGAGTCCTACCCAGTACATATAAACTATAGTATGTGTGGGAATTGTTGATTAATTTCAACTGTCAGATTTTCGTTACGAACCAACATCAGTCAGAGAGATCATTGAAAACAAAGGAACACTGACACCTGTTTCATCCTTTTTTGGGAC